TCAAGAATATAGTGCTATTTCTTTGCTTCTTATGTATAGGCTTTTTGTAGTTTATTTCATTTGCATAGTGGTCATTAATGATTGGGTCAACATGGGTGGAAATATATAGGATATCCTGTATGTCCTCCAAAAAAAGCCTTCTACAATTTCATTCATATGTTCAATATGTGGTCTTTAAATTAGAAATTATCTTTGAAAATGGGAATTAATATTAAATCATTGAAAAAGAGATTAAATATGCATCAAAGGAAACGGACTTATTGAGGAAGATGTAGGATGGCTAGCTGATGATGTCATTGTACATTGGGGATGACTGTTCACACATCACCGAGGCAAGGACTCCCAGTTCAACCTTGACGAAGAACGGATGTATGGACACCTCTTCCGCCAGGGGGCCGCCGGATCAAGTTCTGTTTTCGCGTCTTGGATTTACTACTGCCGTTTGGCATTCTTCTTCTTCAACGGTCCGGTTGTACGACGCCTGGGGCACATATTGCCATGGGTCACGGGATTGTTGATAGATTTTTTTTTACGTGTTCCGGATGGTTCTCCTGGCTGAGTGATGGTGTCCGGCGCCGGCTTGGCCGAGAGGTGCCAGGGGTTGGTGGGTCTTGGTGGGCTCCTGGTGCCCTCAGTCGTGGTGGGCGGCTGGCTTCTGCTCTGCTGGAGGACACTGGATGTCTTTTGCGCTTTAGTTGGAAGCCGAGTTTTGGGTTTGTTACCAGTGTTCTCTGTGTAGGGTGGGGCCGGTGCTAATCACTCTGACGGACTCCTGGGGCTCCACAATCATCTACCCATTTGCGTGTCTTTGCTGCGAGGCACATTAGTTTCCAGTGATTGGCATCTCTGGTCTCGCGAGTGATGCCAATCACTCGCAGAAAGGCGAAACTTGTTGTTTCACCTTTCCGGGCTTCGCGATTAACCCTTAACGGGTACGCTTGGGCGCATCCGATCCCACGATCGTCGTCGCCCCTAAATCAACAACAAAAACAACAATGCAGAGGCAAGAAAATAAAGGGATGAAGGAAGAGAGCTGTTTAATCTCCCTTTGGAATAAAATGTACATGACAGCTGGGAGCGGTCGATAACATGTGATGCTCTGCCTGGACTACAGTAGCCATGTGATGCTCCGCCTGGACTACAGTAGCCATGTGATGCCCTGCCTGGACTACAGTAGCCATGTGATGCCCTGCCTGGACTACAGTAGCCATGTGATGCCCTGCCTGGACTACAGTAGCCATGTGATGCTCCGCCTGGACTACAGTAGCCATGTGATGCTCCGCCTGGACTACAGTAGCCATGTGATGCCCTGCCTGGACTACAGTAGCCATGTGATGCCCTGCCTGGACTACAGTAGCCATGTGATGCTCCGCCTGGACTACAGTAGCCATGTGATGCCCCGCCTGGACTACAGTAGCCATGTGATGCCCTGCCTGGACTACAGTAGCCATGTGATGCTCCGCCTGGACTACAGTAGCCATGTGATGCCCTGCCTGGACTACAGTAGCCATGTGATGCTCCGCCTGGACTACAGTAGCCATGTGATGCTCCACCTGGACTACAGTAGCCATGTGATGCCCGCCTGGACTACAGTAGCCATGTGATGCTCCGCCTGGACTACAGTAGCCATGTGATGCCCTGCCTGGACTACAGTAGCCATGTGATGCCATGCCTGGACTACAGCAGCCATGTGATGCTCCACCTGGACTACAGTAGCCATGTGATGCCCGCCTGGACTACAGTAGCCATGTGATGCCATGTGATGCCTGGACTACAGTAGCCATGTGATGCCCCGCCTGGACTACAGTAGCCATGTGATGCCCCGCCTGGACTACAGTAGCCATGTGATGCTCCGCCTGGACTACAGTAGCCATGTGATGCTCCGCCTGGACTACAGTAGCCATGTGATGCTCCGCCTGGACTACAGTAGCCATGTGATGCTCCGCCTGGACTACAGTAGCCATGTGATGCTCCGCCTGGACTACAGTAGCCATGTGATGCTCCGCCTGGACTACAGTAGCCATGTGATGCTCCGCCTGGACTACAGTAGCCATGTGATGCCCTGCCTGGACTACAGTAGCCATGTGATGCCCTGCCTGGACTACAGTAGCCATGTGATGCCCCGCCTGGACTACAGTAGCCATGTGATGCCCTGCCTGGACTACAGTAGCCATGTGATGCCCTGCCTGGACTACAGTAGCCATGTGATGCTCCGCCTGGACTACAGTAGCCATGTGATGCTCCGCCTGGACTACAGTAGCCATGTGATGCCATGCCTGGACTACAGTAGCCATGTGATGCCCTGCCTGGACTACAGTAGCCATGTGATGCTCTGCCTGGACTACAGTAGCCATGTGATGCTCCGCCTGGACTACAGTAGCCATGTGATGCCCTGCCTGGACTACAGTAGCCATGTGATGCCCTGCCTGGACTACAGTAGCCATGTGATGCTCCGCCTGGACTACTACAGTAGCCATGTGATGCCCTACCTGGACTACAGTAGCCATGTGATGCTCCGCCTGGACTACAGTAGCCATGTGATGCTCCGCCTGGACTACAGTAGCCATGTGATGCCCGCCTGGACTACAGTAGCCATGTGAGGCTCTGCCTGGACTCCAGTAGCCATGTGATGCTCGCGCCTGGACTACAGTAGCCATGTGATGCTCCGCCTGGACTACAGTAGCCATGTGATGCCCCGCCTGGACTACAGTAGCCATGTGATGCCCCGCCTGGACTACAGTAGCCATGTGATGCCCCGCCTGGACTACAGTAGCCATGTGATGCCCTGCCTGGACTACAGTAGCCATGTGATGCTCCGCCTGGACTACAGTAGCCATGTGATGCCCCGCCTGGACTACAGTAGCCATGTGATGCCCTGCCTGGACTACAGTAGCCATGTGATGCCCCGCCTGGACTACAGTAGCCATGTGATGCCCCGCCTGGACTACAGTAGCCATGTGATGCCCGCCTGGACTACAGTAGCCATGTGATGGCCTGGACTACAGTAGCCATGTGATGCTCCGCCTGGACTACAGTAGCCATGTGATGCCCCGCCTGGACTACAGTAGCCATGTGATGCCCTGCCTGGACTACAGTAGCCATGTGATGCCCCGCCTGGACTACAGTAGCCATGTGATGCCATGTGATGCTCCGCCTGGACTACAGTAGCCATGTGATGCCCCGCCTGGACTACAGTAGCCATGTGATGCCCCGCCTGGACTACAGTAGCCATGTGATGCCCCGCCTGGACTACAGTAGCCATGTGATGCTCCGCCTGGACTACAGTAGCCATGTGATGCTCAGTGCCTGGACTACAGTAGCCATGTGATGCCCCGCCTGGACTACAGTAGCCATGTGATGCTCCGCCTGGACTACAGTAGCCATGTGATGCCCCGCCTGGACTACAGTAGCCATGTGATGCTCCGCCTGGACTACAGTAGCCATGTGATGCCTGGACTACAGTAGCCTGGACTACAGTAGCCATGTGATGCCCTGCCTGGACTACAGTAGCCATGTGATGCATGTGATGCCTGGACTACAGTAGCCATGTGATGCTCTGCCTGGACTACAGTAGCCATGTGATGCTCCGCCTGGACTACAGTAGCCATGTGATGCTCCGCCTGGACTACAGTAGCCATGTGATGCCCTGCCTGGACTACAGTAGCCATGTGATGCCCCGCCTGGACTACAGTAGCCATGTGATGCCCCGCCTGGACTACAGTAGCCATGTGATGCCCCGCCTGGACTACAGTAGCCATGTGATGCCCTGCCTGGACTACAGTAGCCATGTGATGCCCCGCCTGGACTACAGTAGCCATGTGATGCCCCGCCTGGACTACAGTAGCCATGTGATGCCCCGCCTGGACTACAGTAGCCATGTGATGCCCCGCCTGGACTACAGTAGCCATGTGATGCTCTGCCCTACAGACTACAGTAGCCATGTGATGCCCCGCCTGGACTACAGTAGCCATGTGATGCCCCGCCTGGACTACAGTAGCCATGTGATGCTCCGCCTGGACTACAGTAGCCATGTGATGCTCCGCCTGGACTACAGTAGCCATGTGATGCCCCGCCTGGACTACAGTAGCCATGTGATGCCCCGCCTGGACTACAGTAGCCATGTGATGCCCCGCCTGGACTACAGTAGCCATGTGATGCCCCGCCTGGACTACAGTAGCCATGTGATGCTCCGCCTGGACTACAGTAGCCATGTGATGCCCCGCCTGGACTACAGTAGCCATGTGATGCCCCGCCTGGACTACAGTAGCCATGTGATGCCCCGCCTGGACTACAGTAGCCATGTGATGCCCCGCCTGGACTACAGTAGCCATGTGATGCTCCGCCTGGACTACAGTAGCCATGTGATGCTCTGCCTGGACTACAGTAGCCATGTGATGCTCTGCCTGGACTACAGTAGCCATGTGATGCTCCGCCTGGACTACAGTAGCCATGTGATGCCCCGCCTGGACTACAGTAGCCATGTGATGCCCCGCCTGGACTACAGTAGCCATGTGATGCCCCGCCTGGACTACAGTAGCCATGTGATGCCCTGCCTGGAATACAGTAGCCATGTGATGCTCCGCCTGTACTACAGTAGCCATGTGATGCCCCGCCTGGACTACAGTAGCCAAAATGGACTTCAGGAAGTCTATTAGGATCCATAACAAGCCCCCGGCTTCCTGTCTTAGTCCTGACCTTAAATTGTTGACTCAGGTCATATATAACTTGGAAACTTTGACTGTTTCTGACTGGTCTGACGCATAAAGTGGCCACTTGGTTGTTGGTCTTTGCTTAAGGTGGTCGAAGATTGGACGAGCATTTAATGTAACTGTAAACTGGCTGTCAAGATGATTTCTGGCTGCATTGCTTTATTTCTTTATATTTTTGCAGTAATGGGCTCTTGTCATGAAGTTTGTCGTTAGGTTGTTAATGGTAATGTGTTTAATTGGTTAACATCATTATCTCCTGCACCGTTACCAGTGACCACTGTTATCCTGCAGGCCCTGGTGGCGGGAGTCGTTAGTGGTGACCAGGTGCTGGTGTTGGCCGCCCTCGCCCTGGGTGCTGACACCTCCGTCACGGTGGAGGGCCGTATTACCCAAGAGCCACTCTGCATGTTGAGCGTGGCTGCTGGGAGGGGTCACACTCACCTGGTGCCTCACCTGCTGGCGGCGGGACTCCCCGTGGAGGGTTCAGGGGAGTCCTCCCTCACACCTTTACACTGGGCGGCTGGCAGCGGTCATGACCAGGTGGTGAGGCAGCTGCTCAGCGCCCAGGCTCACCTGCAGGCCAGGGGTCTTGATGGTGAGAACCACAACACATGCTGCAGTATGTTGTATTATGAAGAGTTTAAGCATGTTTGTGTATGTTGTATGTAAGCCTCAACATAACCGGTGTTACAGGTGTGACCGCACTACATGTGGCAGCGCAGCATGGTCATGAGTCGTGTGTGGTGACGCTACTTGGTGCCGGCGCTGACCCTGACTCTCGGGAGGATTATGGTCGGTCACCACTGCACTATGCTGCCGTAGGAAACCACACAGATGTTGTGCAGGTGTTGCTGACAGCTGCCGGATGTGACCGTCACGCTGTAGACAAGTACGGGGAGACAGCACTACACGGGGCAGCGAGGGGCGGAGGTCTGGAGGCAACACAGTGCTTGGTTGTGGCCGGCCTCGACCCTCGCGCCAGGAACATGGCGGGAGACACACCTCTGGACTTGGCGAGGCTGGCGGGTCGTGACCGTGTGGAGTGGTGGCTGAGGAAGCTGCCTCGCCCCCACCCTGCTGCTGGGACACCCACGCTGCTCTTAGTGGTAAATACTCTTGCGGAAGAATCAACACCCAACACCAGCACACTCTGGCCGCCACTGTTCTTACCTCTGGCCGCCACTGTTCTTAACTCTGGCAGCCACTGTTCTTAACTCTGGCAGCCACTGTTCTTAACTCTGGCGGCAACTGTTCTTAACTCTGGCGGAAACTGTTCTTAACTCTGGCCGCCACTGTTCTTAACTCTGGCGGCAACTGTTCTTAACTCTGGCAGCCACTGTTCTTAACTCTGGCGGCCACTGTTCTTAACTCTGGCGGCAACTGTTCTTAACTCTGGCAGCAACTGTTCCTAACTCTGGCAGCCACTGTTCTTAACTCTGGCGGCCACTGTTCTTAACTCTGGCAGCCACTGTTCTTAACTCTGGCAGCCACTGTTCTTAACTCTGGCAGCCACTGTTCTTAACTCTGGCGGCCACTGTTCTTAACTCTGGCGGCCACTGTTCTTAACTCTGGCGGCAACTGTTCTTAACTCTGGCAGCAACTGTTCTTAACTCTGGCAGCCACTGTTCTTAACTCTGGCGGCAACTGTTCTTAACTCTGGCGGCAACTGTTCTTAACTCTGGCCACTGGCAACTGTTCTTAACTCTGGCAGCCACTGTTCTTAACTCTGGCGTTCAACTGTTCTTAACTCTGGCAGCCACTGTTCTTAACTCTGGCAGCCACTGTTCTTAACTCTGGCGGCAACTGTTCTTAACTCTGGCAGCAACTGTTCTTAACTCTGGCAGCCACTGTTCTTAACTCTGGCGGCAACTGTTCTTAACTCTGGCGGCAACTGTTCTTAACTCTGGCGGCCACTGTTCTTAACTCTGGCGGCCACTGTTCTTAACTCTGGCGGCCACTTAACTCTGGCGGCCACTGTTCTTAACTCTGGCGGCAACTGTTCTTAACTCTGGCGGCAACTGTTCTTAACTCTGGCAGCCACTGTTCTTAACTCTGGCGGCCACTGTTCTTAACTCTGGCCGAGCAACTGTTCTTAACTCTGGCCGGCCACTGTTCTTAACTCTGACGGCAACTGTTCTTAACTCTGGACGCCACTGTTCTTAACTCTGGCGGCCACTGTTCTTAACTCTGGCAGCCACTGTTCTTAACTCTGGTGGCAACTGTTCTTAACTCTGGCGGCAACTGTTCTTAACTCTGGCAGCCACTGTTCTTAACTCTGGCAGCCACTGTTCTTAACTCTGGCAGCCACTGTTCTTAACTCTGGCGGCCACTGTTCTAACGGCAACTGTTCTTAACTCTGGCGGCCACTGTTCTTAACTCTGGCAGCAACTGTTCTTAACTCTGGCGGCTACTGTTCTTAACTCTGGCGGCCACTGTTCTTAACTCTGGCGGCCACTGTTCTTAACTCTGGCGGTAACTGTTCTTAACTCTGGTGACCACTGTTCTTAACTCTGGCGGCCACTGTTCTTAACTCTGGCCGCTGTTCTTAACTCTGGCGGTAACTGTTCTTAACTCTGGCGGCCACTGTTCTTAACTCTGAACTCTGGCGGCCACTGTTCTTAACTATGAGAGCCACTGTTCTTAACTCTGACAGCCACTGTTCTTAACTCTGGGCCACTGTTCTTGGAGCCACTGTTCTTAACTCTGGCGGCCACTGTTCTTAACTCTGGCTGCCACTGTTCTTCACTCTGGCGGCCACTGTTCTTAACTCTGGCGGCCACTGTTCTTAACTCTGGCTGCCACTGTTCTTAACTCTGGCGGCCACTGTTCTTCACTCTGGTGGCAACTGTTCTTAACTCTGGCGGCCACTGTTCTTAACTCTGGTGGCCACTGTTCTTAACTCTGGCAGCCACTGTTCTTAACTCTGGCGGCAACTGTTCTTAACTCTGGCGGCCACTGTTCTTAACTCTGGCGGCAACTGTTCTTAACTCTCTGATGTTCAATGTTCTTAACTCTGGCGGCCACTGTTCTTAACTCTGGTGGCCACTGTTCTTAACTCAGGCGGCCACTGTTCTTAACTCTGGCGGCAACTGTTCTTAACTCTGGCGGTCACTGTTCTTAACTCTGGCACGCCACTGTTCTTAACTCTGGCGGCCACTGTTCTTAACTCTGGCGGCCACTGTTCTTAACTCTGGCGGCCACTGTTCTTAACTCTGGCGGCAACTGTTCTTAACTCTGGTGATCAACTGTTCTTAACTCTGGCGGCCACTGTTCTTAACTCTGGCGGCAACTGTTCTTAACTCTGGCGGCCACTGTTCTTAACTCTGGCGGCCACTGTTCTTAACTCTGGCAGCCACTGTTCTTAACTCTGGTGGCCACTGTTCTTAACTCTGGTGGCCACTGTTCTTCACTCTCTGGCGGCCACTGTTCTTAACTCTGGCGGCCACTGTTCTTAACTCTGGCGGCCACTGTTCTTAACTCTTGCGGCCACTGTTCTTAACTCTGGTGGCCACTGTTCTTAACTCTGGCGGCAACTGTTCTTAACTCTGGTGGCCACTGTTCTTAACTCTGGCGGCCACTGTTCTTAACTCTTGCGGCCACTGTTCTTAACTCTGGCGGCCACTGTTCTTAACTCTTACTCTGGCGGCCACTGTTCTTAACTCTGGCGGCCACTGTTCTTAACTCTGGACGCCACTGTTCTTAACTCTGGCGGCCACTGTTCTTAACTCTGGCGGCAACTGTTCTTAACTCTGGC